GAATGTATGCGATAACTATTCCTGTCGAAGTTGATGTTTCTCCTCTTATGAAACCTGGGGGAAAGCATCTAGGGGAAGAATTGGCCTCTGCTGCTTGGAGTCAGTGACCAAGAAGTTCAAACCACTAGACAGCTAGATGATAGGGGACTGGCCTCATTTTCCCAGAGATGTTCCTGGAAGATGGTGGGCCAAATGTAACTCCATTAAAATACAGCTGTTACAATGATTTATTTGAAATTAAAAATGTACCTTTTTACCCTTGGAAATTCAAATGATGAAAATATCTAATCAGACATGCTGTCATTAAATGAAATGATTAAGGAAACACCAAACTAGGCGAATACCAAGTTTAATGTTAAAGTGAAACTCTGTGAAGGCTATGGATACAGGTAGTCACCCCCTTGCAGGGCTTGCCCAAGCCTGTTAGTAGCTAATCTTTGGTCTTTCAGGAAAATCCCTAAATGAAACATCTTTAGTTTGCAATTTTTATTGCCCTTTGGATTTTCAGTTGAGAACTTGGTTTTCTAGGATTCTGGTTGTGGTATCATATTTTGATGTCTTGATGATATTGTCCGCAGTGGAAAAAAATATTGCTTAGTATATAAGCTTTCCAAGGGAAAGGGAGCAAATGTGGAATCAGTACCTCATCACGTTGTTGAACTCCTCATTCCTGATGCTGTTAACTCCTATGAAGGCCAACGGTATTGTTCTTTTTCAAAAATCAAAGAAAATTAGTCCTTCCTAAAGCTAATACATTTTTGTCATCCTTTTTATCCATGAAAAAAGGCACTCATTTTTAAGCGTCCTAATTTTTGATACATTGGAGGCGGTGCAGCAGGAGCTGGCCAGGATAGAAGCGGCCCTCCCAGATGTTCAGACTGTCAGCACGGCTTCTCTGGGCACAGAAGATGTCTTTTTATGGAGATGTTTTGTTGTAATTTCAGAAGGTGATTGTTAGTTATCTTGGCTACTTTACATTTAGCACATCTGGGATGTGTTCACATGAAGACATTGGCTAAAAGCTATGTCTTGTGGCCTGGAATTGACTCTGATATTTAAAAGACTGGAAAGGACATTTTTTGGCTACTTGGCCCAATCCAACAAAGACACCTTCGATGGGCAGCCCAGTCAGGAATTCATTTTGGAATTGAAGAGCAAGTACAGAAGTGAAACTTCTCAATTGCTGTAGAATTCTTTTCAAAATGGCTTAATGTGCTTGTAGTTCTTCCCCGAGTTTCTGCCATGGCAGCGGTAGCTCTGAGACAGTAATTTGCAACCCTGGCATCAGAGTTTCTGACAGTGGTTCTACAGTTACTTTATTTGAGTGCAAGGAATCTGTAGAGAGGACTCACAGCTGTGCTATCACCACTGACACCCGTTGCCGCAGAGAGCGCCCCGAGACACGTTGGAACGAATACTTGCGTCTGGTCCCTCGGCTCAGAGCTAGATGCTGGCCAACAGCACTCAGTTCTGCTAAGTCTGTGATGTAGCAATACCTAAAGTTTTTCCATCTTAAATGAGGACAACTAAGACAAGCAGAACATAATACTGTTCTATCTGAAGCTGTTGTTTGTTCACTTTTAGCACCAACTGTGGAGTTTGAACTAAGGTAGAATCTTTTTCACTTTAGTTGAAATTGTAAAAATCATTTTGCACTATAAAGGGTAAAAATATTAGCTCATGAGTATGTAATTCTAAAGACTGATTAATAGTGGATGAATTAGGATTTTAGGGCAGTTTATCATTTATTATTTTTGCCTTTTTCATACTATCTAAGAATTTATTTTACTTTTGTGGGAAGGTTTGGTATAAAGTGAGAAAGCATATACAAAAGCATTTTATAAATTATAAACTGTTCCATAATCTGGATAATATTAATACCAACAAGAATAACATCAGCTATGCACAACTTATAGTGGTTACTGTTCTATGTACTTTACATATTTTCACCTATTTAATCATCTCAGAGAACCTATGATAGTAAGAGTAGTGACTGTTCCACTTGACGGTTGTGGGACTGAGGCACGTGGTGGTAATGTAACTTGCTAAGATCCTCTAGTTAGTGTGGGGTGTAGAGAGGATTGGAACCCAGGCAGTGTGGCCCCAGAAGTAAGAACTAAGACACAGGGAATTCCCTCCCCTTTCTGCGGCATTCCTAATATTATAGTTAGAAAATAGATGCTTCTAACTAGGCTGGAATTGGGTATGAAGCGTGTTGCTTATCCGCCCAAAGAAAATTTAGAGATAATGGTAAATAGCATGCTTTTGAAAAATTTAGTGTGACGCAGTTGTACTCTGTGGTTGGTTTCAAGCAACTTTATTCTTCTAGCAGTATAAAAGGCATCTTTTAAAACAAATGATAATTGCAGTTTTCAGTCTCCCTGTGAGACTGAAAATATTTTTGTTTATCTCTTTGGGCTTGTGGAGTGATGTGGTTAAAACCCTCTCTTAAAAGAATCGAAAGGAAACTATTTAGTTCACAAGGACCCGGGCTTCTATTCATAACAGGTTCTCACCCAGACAATGACACCTCTTGTGTACTTTTCAAAAAAACGCCTGGATTTTCACATTTGTGAGCTGTATTGATGACAGCCGAGCAACTGTATCTTATAGGATTAGCATGATAGCAGTACATCGGCCTATAGAGGGGAAAACTGTGATCAGTACAACAACCTGAGCTACACTTGAAAGAAATTTAGTCCTTCAGTTAAATTTTCTCCTCAATTTACAACTTCAGTCCCATAGTTTAAGGGTCTAAAAGTTCTCTTATACCCTCTCTTTTTACTGTCGAGATACATAGTAGAAGCTCATTTGACTCCAAAGAAATATTTTGTTTTTCTTCCCCTTTTGGTAAGATCATTCTTTGGCCAGCTGAAATGAATTCAACTCATAAAACTTTCTCTTAAAAGAAAAAAGGGAAGCACTTTTCATTTCTAATATCACCTCTAGGTGCCCCACTTAGGTTTTATAAGGGATAATAGAGTTGTGTTCATGGGTGGAATGAGCTGTTACAACTCCCTGTTTTGTCCCAGACTAATCATCGCCTTTACTCACTAAACTCCTATATAAAACAGTCGTAAAGGAAGTAAATGTGAACTAGGAAGCCATCATAAATTGTTTATACTCTAAAACTTAAGTATCGATAAATAAAAGTTGCTATAAGGATAAACAACTCCAAATGCTTTGAGTGTCTGTTAAAGTTCTTGGCACTCTGACAGTTGGGACACATTTGTTGCACGAGACAGCCTTGCTCTGATGACCACGTGGGTTAATAGGAGAGGTATACAGGTAAAGCCTCTTCAGAGTCAGCTGTTTCCTCTCCCGTGATTCCCCAGGGCCTAATACATGTGTCTGTGATGGAACTGACCTTATTGTAAACTCCTTGAGGGGAGAGTTGTCTCTTATTCACTTAGATAATTCCTACAACACAGTAGGTACCTAATCACTTATTTGTAGAATGAAGAGGGAAGATAGCACCCGTCCACAAGTAAGATAGGGGAACATTTTAGGCAGAGAGTATTAAGTGACCAAAGAGAAAGACTTTGAAAGCTGTGGTTGAGAAATCATCGCCTAGTTCACTGTGGTTCAAGTATGATATGGGAAGGCAGGGCTGGAAGCTACAGCTGAAAGATTGAATAGGTAGGTCTTCACAAATCATTGTCAGGTTGAGGGGTTAGTGAATGATACCTTAAGTTGGCAGCCTAACTGACCAAAATGGCTGTAATCGCCTTAAAATAAATGGAAATTGAAAGGAGAACAGGTTTAAGAGAGAAGGACTGTACTGTGCTGAGAAATTGAGTCCAAGGTACCCATAGAACCTCCAAATGTAAACAAGGAGTTCTAAGAGGAGACAGGATAAGAAGCTTAGGAGAGCAAGGTCAAGGCTGGAGGAAGCACATTTGGATCTATAGAAGCGATTGTACAACCAAGGATCAGGTGCAATGACTGACGGGGAGAGGGAAGATGACGAGAAGAGAACAAGGAAACTGAAGTCACAATCTTAAGGGCCTGAGCAGGGAAAACCAAAGAATGATTGAAAGAGAGAATGAACACTGAGAGTCACTTGGCACAGCATGAAGGGGGTATGCAGTGAAATGTGGGGAAATAGCCTAGAGTTTGCAGTAAAGGACTGAGTTCAGGTCTTGCTCTCAAATGTTAACTGAATGATGTGCAGCTAATTGTGTAAGTTCTTGGGCCATTGTTTCCCTACCTGCATGATGGGAATAACACCTCAGTATTGATGTGATCATTTAAATACTTTAAATGAATATGCTTTAAGTAATACTTGATGAATTACTCTATTTTTATTGGCGTATTCAAATGATAATTTATTTTTACTCTGTTACTCTATTTGCTTTATTACTGGTCTATTAAAATAAAAATAAACAATAAAATAAAAGATTTTAGGTTACCTATATTTCTTAAGTACATGTGAGTGACCATATCGCAAAAAAGATTATTTTAAAAATGTCTTGTAACCACTACAAAAAAATTGAAGACTTAAGAATTTTAAAATTGCATGTTTCATAAAGGGAGATACTGTTTTCACTCACTATCTTTTGAATAAATTTTTTGGAGATTAAATATGATTCACTGTTTTATCAAGTTTATTTTTTCTAGCTTGTTTTACTAAGCTTCTCTAAATAAGGCTTTCATTTTTCAGTTCTTAGGGCATTTGTTAATTTGTTTCTCTTCAGGTGCCACTAATATTCTTGCCAACACTGGGACCCAAAGCTTTTGAAACACCTCACATTCATAGCATTTTTTTATGTTCTTAACACAGTCTAACTACTATATATATATTTCCAGGAGAAGCAAAATTATTTTCTTGGGTAATATTTGCCAAATTTTATTTCCAAAAATATTATGCAGTCTAAAATTAATTTTTTCCACATCTCAATGTCAATGATGAAATGCATTTAAGTGTCACTTTAACGTACTGAAATTCTTTTATTAGGGAAAGAAACAATAACCAACACCTTTCTCATTCTCATTACTAGGGTAGCACATTAAGAAAAATACTCCTGCATCGATACTTTAAAGGTGATTATGGAGTGAGCATCAATGGCCACCTTTCCGGAACCTACTCCAAATCTGCACAAGGGGGAGGCAAGTCTTTTCATTTTTTCCTTCATTTTAAACTTCTCATAACATCTTTATGCTGGTACTCTAGCATTTTAGTTAAAATAGCACAAATATAAAAATTTCATTTAAAAAGCACTATTTTCAGTGATAAAAAGGAGGAAATCCTATTTGCAACAACATGGATGGACCTTGAGGGCATTATGTTACATGAAATAAGTCAGATGAAGAAACACAAGTACTGTGTAATCTCACTATGTCTAAATAAAAAAAAAAATTCACAGAAGCAGATGAGCTTTGTGGTTGCTAGAGGTGAGGGGCAGAGAGTAGGGGCATTAAGTGAAAGTAGTCAAAGGTACAAGCTTTCAATTATAAATAAGTCCTGGGGGTTTAATGTGGAACATGAGACTATACTTAATACTGGGTTGTGTATTTGAAAGTTGCTAAGAGAATAGATGCTAAAAGCTCTTATCACAAGGGAAAAAATTGCAACTATATGAAGTGATGAATGTTAACTAATCTTTTACGGTCGTCATTTTGCAATAATGCATCTATCAAATCATTATGCTGTACACCTTAAATTTATGTTATATGTTCACTGTGTCTCAATAAAACTAAAACAATAAATGAAAAGCACAATTAAAAACCTTTCTACCATTTCAGGTTCAAACAACATATTTAAACATTAGAATTAATTTTGTCTTTTAACTTTGGAAATTAGTTACCTTAATTTCTTAATATATAAATTAAAGACAAAAATAATGCATTTTCTTTTTACTAAAGTTTTTTTATTAAGAAAAATTATTTAGAGGTGGCATACATTTAATAAAAAGTTATATTTCTACAAACTTTTGATTTAAAAAAACAAGCTTCTAATATATTTAACTTTGTAGGGAAAGAGTTCCAATTTTAAATATTCTTAAAGTCTAAGGATTTGAAAACCTTATATGTTAGTAATGTCTGTAAGGTTTGTTTAATTTATATTTCCTAATCACAGGAAGCTTTTCTGGACAAGATTCAGATAAGATGGGGATATCAATGTCAGATATTCAGTGTCTACTGGATAAGGAAGGTGCTTCAGAACTTGTCATTGATGTTATAGTGAACACCAAAAATGACAGAATTTTTTCAGAAGGCATTTTACTTGGCATTGCTTTGCTGGAAGGAGGAAACACACAAACTCAGGTACCTACTTCTCATGATGGGCATTACATTTGTTATCTGCATTTATTTACGTGTCATAGAAACCATGAGAAAGTAATATTTTTTTCTTTTAGCCTCTCATGATTCTATATAAAGCAGCCTTGTATCACATTTTCCTCATAAATGTATTTGATTTGCTATAGATACAGAACTTCACAGGTTATTCATCGAAGCAGAACAACCCTGAGAAGCATCCTTTCTAACATTAATACCAGAAACTCTGAGTTGCTTAGGGAAGTTTTAGGCTGACTTTCAGCAGATAGAAATGACATTTGATTCCTCTAAGCAGTAAATGTATTAATTAAAAGAGGTGCCATGCATAAACTCCTCCTACGGTGTTTGGCATCGCAGCGGGTCCCGGTGACCTTCACCGCCCCTCTCCACACACACACACACATCCTGCCCATACAAAAATTTAGAAGTTGAGAACAGTAACATGACTGTTGCCCCGAGTCCCCCAGCACTCCTTTCCTTGACGAGTCTGAGTAAGTGGATTTTTCACGAGTAGGGCGAGGAGAGGAGAACCATTTCATTTGTTCATGCAGCTCAGGGTGGGCTGATTTGAAAGTCACCGTTCGTCCGTCTGGTGCTCTGTGATAGCAAGCAGTAGGCTCACCTGCCTGCAAGGCCCAGACCAGTGTTTCCAGGAGGGACCATTTTCACCTTGAAACTGCTGCCACATTTCCCCCAGGTTCCTCCAAACTCAAAGGGAGAACACACTGCGTGAGCCCAAGAGCCGGCAAGTGCTCACGGAGGAGCGGCCTCCGCCTCCTACTCCTGCCGCTCAACAGCCTGCTCTCCCTACGTTTGCTGCAGTCAGGGAAGGAAGCCATACTCACACCTACCTGCAAATCCCAGAGTCCATTTTCCCTACTCATGGCAAATAGAAGCCACACCTAATTAAGAAATAAAATATTTTCCTTTATTTAGTGATCAAATACAAGGAACAACAGGAATTGCAGGGTATGAAATACCTGATACCAGGGACCTTTAGGAATAAAGGCCTCATGAGTAGTACATAGCACAATGACCAAAAAAAGAAAAACAACCTTAAAACGTTTATACTTCTTAGTTAGAAAACAATTCTAGTAAATTATGGTCAGGAGTGATACAGCTCTATGACTGAACGGTCCTTCTTTACAGTGTCTACCCTGACTGGGGGGGCCTTTGGCTATTACTCCTTTATCTGAGATCCCGTAGCGCTTATCTCTTTAATACTCTCTTGGCCCTTTGCCTGTATTCCAGCACAGTTCTTCTGAGGGAAGTTGTGTGCACCGGCAGAGGGGTGGTGGTGGGATTTGAGTGGTTTTCTTGGAAATTGCCTTCCTTCTGCAACCAGATATTCAGCTTGGATTTTCTTAAGAAATTGTCTAGGCAGCTACATAATGTTAGATGGAGATTATCCAGAGGATAGAAGTGGAAGAGTTTTGGGGCATCTTTAGGTAGAAGCAATCCTTGGGGTTATAGTACTTTCTAGATTCCTGTTTCTGGGCCACTGTGGGTCATCGGATGGGATCATCTTCTTTTGCTGTTACTTGTGTGACATCTTGATTCTCCAGTTAAATTTCTTTTTTTCTTAATGTGGGGGGTCATGTTCTATTCTTTATCTATAATATTTTGTATCCATTCAATAGGTAGTTTTGAGGGAACAGAATTAAATTACTTTGTATATGAAAACATTGTTTTAAGATGGATTGTGACAATTTCATTTACCTGCCTTGTCTCATTCGATTTCTCATGTACCTGCATCGGTGTATAACCCAGATGTCAGCTCAGTGTTCCTGGCTCAAAGAGCCCTGGTTGAGGTCAGCTGGAGTCCTGTTCCTAGTTCTTCAGCAGTCTGAAAACCATGGCTCTCCAAGACTTTTCTCCCAGTCCCTAGGTGCTTGGACATTCTCATGGTCTCCTTAGCTACTCGTGCCTTCCTTTCTTCATTCATGGGTTCTCTTGACATCCCTGTATCTCTGTGGCACTGAGATAGGACTCTGATTCCCATACTAGCTACATAAGTCAATTTATATGTTTAATATACTTTATTGAAAATTAGTTGAGGGGGTGGCTAGAGCAGGTACTTGGTTTATCATTTCAAGTCGAACATTAATAATAAAAATAATGCTTCCTAATTCCTGTTCTTACGGCTTTATGTGTATTAATTTGGTTAATCCCAACAATAACCTAGGAGGTAACTGTTATATTATCTGATCTTAGCGAAGAAAATTCTGAGATAGATGGTTAAAATTTCTTATCCAAGATCACATGGCTCGTTAGAGATAGAGTCAGAATTCGAACCCGTGCAGTCTGGCTCCAGAATCTGTGCTCTTGACCACGATAAACATCTTTCTAAAATAATCTTCTACCTCCTCGCTCTTGGGGAATTGCTCCGACTGATTCCCCCTGTATCACGCCCTAGTCTCGCTCCACGTTCCTAGTTCCTCACTGCATTTCCCTTCTCTGCCCTCCCGCTACTAGTCTCACTCCTCCTTCTTCGGGGAAGTCCTTCCTTTGTCACACACATCTGTGTTTCTACCTCCTGTGGCTCCTGATAAAAAACCTTAGAGTTTTCCCTGTATTCTAGCCAGCTTTTGGAGGTAGTTTCCTAATCAAAAACCCTATCTTCAGTAAAAGAAATCAGTATGCCACCTATATATACTATATATACATACATATTTAAAGCACACTTTTTAACTTCATTAAAATTATAATGTTCAAATTTGTAGGACCCTGGTTTAAAAAAGGCATGGTCTGTGTAAATAATTTGTTGTTTTGAGCTTAAGAAGTCACTTGATAAATTTATGATATAGAGTCAGGGACTGTAGATTTAAATCCTAGTTCCACCAATCAGTTACATAATACTGGGCAATTCGCTTGTCTTTTCTAAAGCTCCTTTTTAAAATTTTAAAGTGGAAATAAGGACTCTGTTTATTCATCACACAGTTGTACTGGAAGCTTCAGGAGATAATATATGCCAAGGAGCTACATAAATTATAGAACTTTGTTTTAACAGAACCACAGAGTTCCTGTATCTTCCTCATCAATATATTGGAACTAACCCCCTTTAACTTTCTAACTTCATTATAATATATTGAAAATATTAGGATTTAAGCATCAGCTTAATTTGTGGGCCCAGAGTTCTGTGAATGCCGCATTTATCCTTTGAATGAACAGAACCAGCTCGGCTGTTTCACTGTAGTTGCCATGGTAACTGTGGGTTTTTGGTCTGCTTTCTTGAGGGGTTGCTAGCCCTCTTCTAAGGAGCTTCCCTGTTAAATATGAAGCCAGCTTCTGAGGCTTCATAAACTACTCTGTGAATATACATTGCCGATACGAAATTTTCAGGCCAGATGACCATTTCAAGACCCTGGAACCATGACTTCTAGGTGTCTCACTTCATCTAGGTGTCTCACCTAGAAGTCATGGTTCCAGGCACTCCTGCTGGGAAGCATATCTGCAGGAGCCGAACTCCCCAGAATTGGCTCTTTAGCTTGATTGAGTTATGGTCAATTCTACTTGACCTGAAAATCTTTGCTTTTTATGTAGGTTTTCTTCACACTGTCTCGCACCAAGGTTATATAACTCTCTTAATCACCACAGTCAATGAGATCATTATCTCCTAATATTTTTTCTTTAATTTCTCTTGTTTGTGTTTTGTCTAGCCCATGGTTTTAGTATCAACAAAATTTCCCCACCCGCTGCCACTTCTGTCTGTTCTAGAGTACCTCGCTTTCCTTTCTCCTGCCTCTTCTGGGCATTTCCCTAAGTTCCTACACAGGTAATGATTAGGGCGGATATTTCCCAGGTGCAGTATGTCCACCTCTTACTAAGATATACTTCAGTCATCCTTTGGGTGTGGAATCCTTTCTGTATCATTATGAACTGTAAAGCAGAATTTATTTTATGGTAGGCTTATCTCATGCAAAGCAATATAGCTAATGAAGTACCAAAGGACTTAGCCCTTATTTATCAGTGGGTTCCTGTGAGTGAGGTTATGAGATAGTCTAAATTAACTATACTGCAATTTAGATAAAAAGAAAGACAACAATTTGTAATTCTCTGTAAACTCATTCCCACAGGATGATCATTGGGTTAGTTACTGGTTGTGTTGGAGATGACAAACTCGTGGAGGCAGGGACTGTGGCTATTTCTCCTTTTTGTTCCATCTCTAGTGCTAGCATAGCATCTGGCACATAGTAAGCACTCAATAAATATGTGTTCAATTAACACATGACTTTATAGTAACATAAAAACCAAAGTTGTATGCAACTTCTTTTAGTGCCTGTATAAATTTTAAAAATAAATAGGATGAATTACGTAACATGAAAATATGTTGGAATTTAGTAGAAAGTGCTAAGTAAAGTAAGCTATTATTAGTAAATATTAAGTAATACAGGAGAATGGCAAAAGCTGTCAATTTATTATTTATGAAATGATAGTGAGCAGCACATTAAATGTGTGATCTTATTTATATGCTTATGTTTATTTCAAGCACAAAAATACTTTTTTTCTCTGCTTGGGTGTTGATATCTTAAAATGTGTTTTCTTGCAGTACTCTTTCTATCAGCAGTTGCACGAACAAAAAAGATCAGAAAAATTCTTCAAAGTTCTATATGACCGAATGAAGACTGCTCAGAAAGAGATAAGATCAACAGTGACAGTTAATACCGTAGACCTAGGTAACAAAAAAAGGGATGATGACAATGAGCTGATGACATCTGGTCCACGAATGAGAGGTAATGACATATTCGAGTGCGTGGGGGGCAGAGGGAGAGGAATGAGGGTAACGCAGTGTTCAGATCGCACCTGTCTTTGTCGAGTGACCAAACTCTACAGGATCAAACCCAAACAATGCATCATAGATGCACAGCAGCTACAGCAGGTCCTTGAATGTCATTTCATTCAACGTAGATTATTTTGTGATAACATTGGTGAAATACCTGAGGAACTTAACTCTTGTTTACATGATTTAGCCAAAATTGGTTTTGTCATATGTCATTTTGCTTGAAGTCACAGAACCTCTCGATGGCATTACGTGAGAACCTACTGTAGTAATTTGAAAATGTTTGATTTCATTGCGGAAAGCATGGTAGAGAACAAGTGTCACAAACCTTTCGAATGGTAATGAAATTTAAAATTTAAGGACAGAAATTGTAGCTCCAGGCTCTAATAAAAGATTCTTGGTTTTTCGAATAACAAAGTCATCAGTGTAGTGACTATAAATCATAAAAAATTAACAGTTTGAAGTTTGCCACATCTCCCCACTTTTTTATATTTGTGAACTCTCATAGTCGATATTTATCAGAACAACACAAACCTGTCGAAAACTGGCTACGCGTTAAGATCTGTTTTTTGTGTCCCAATGCCAATTTAATTTTTTAGTTGCTACCTCAGATTCTTTTTGGGAAATTCTTGCACTTCTTGTCAGATGATATTTAATTCAGTTGTTATAGAATTTGAGCCCCTCGTGGCCTTTTATTTTTAAATTAGCAAAAGAAAATTAATTTAGAAGGATAAGAGTACTTCTTTATTTTCAGTAAGAGATTCATCATTACATTTAAAAGAGGGAATGAAAGGGCAATTAACGGAAGCTTCTTCAGCAACATCCAAAGCATACTGCGTATACAGGAGAGAAATGGATCCAGAAATAGACATGATGTGCACAGGATCAGAAGTGGGAAGTGCTGAGGACAAGTCTGCGGAGGAAGTAACAATGAGCCCGGCCATCACCATCATGCAGCCGATCCTGCGATTTCTTCAGTTGCTGTGTGAGAATCACAACCGGGAACTGCAGGTATTGTTCTGGTCCGTGTGGAAGCGGAGAACACCGCCTATGGTTGTAAGCAATTGAACTCAAAATGAACAAGTAGATTAGGAGTTTTGGAGATAATCAATAAAACCCATAGTGCTCCTCTGAAATAGGAAGACACTTGTGTATCTAAATGATAAAAATAAAATTCCTGTACAGATGAAAAAGTCAGGCTCATAAGGTTTCATTCTTTACAACCTCACATCAGGTTGTTTTAACCTCTGTGAACATCTAATCCTAGTATTTGGGTGTTGGTTGAGTAGGTCACATTTGCCTCAACTGTGCCTTCGTGGTTTTACAGATTTTAGGGGGTTTCATCATTTATAGCCCAATTCAAGTTTCATAGAGATTATATTCATTTATCTTTATGAGAAATAGAGTTAATATAGAAGATGATTTTTTACAACAGTGGAAGTTGATACCTTTGTAAATTAATATAGTCCTGGTCTTACATCTTCTTTGGTACATTTCCTGTCAAGTCAATGAACTTAGGGTTACCTAGGGATTTTGGCTTTTTAGTTTTTTAATTATTTGTACACCCTGCTTACGGCACCATGGCAAAACCACATGAAAGGTGAAAGAGTTTCTAAGAACACATATCGAATATTAAAGAGACAGCAGTGTTTGAAGTTGTTTTCTCTAGTAAAGCTCTAGACCAGAAATTTTCAACCAATGGGCTGCAGGAATTTTTAAAACATGCCAATACCTGACTACTTACTCAGGGTCACTGACCGCTTTTCCCTTAGATTGTCAAATTAAAAAATGACAACAGCTAACACAATGGTAGCTATCTGATGTGAATAAACCAAAATTGTACCTATTTTTTTGTCAGAATGGCAAAAACGACCTTTTTCGGTGTGCCACAGAATTTTAGTAATTAATTTATGTGTGCCATGAGATGAAAATGGTTGAAAGTTGCTGGTCTAGACTACAGGCATTCTGAATTGTTAAGAGGTGTACTTCTATAAATTTAATTATATTCCTCCAAGGAGATAAGGCCCAGAATTGATTCACGGCAGGCACCTTGATCCTTGCAGACCACACCTGGCCTTGGAGAGGGCGGCTGCAGAACGCTCGGCCTGCGAAGCCCAGAAGCATTACATCCAGAGCGAGGGCACTGGATGTACCTTCATGCTTATTCCTGACCCACCTACTCTGTCTCTGTAGGAAATAGATGTATTATATGGAATCTGATCAAACATTTTACTGATAGGAGTATGGGATAAAATAATTTAGAAAATGCTACTTATAAAATAGTTTTGATTTAATAAGGATAGATGGTTATTCAACGGCTAATATGCAAAAGCAACCCATGTGTGCATGGACAGATGAATGGACACACAAAGTGTGGTGTACCTGTCGGAGGGAATATTATTCAGCCTTCAAAGAGGACATTCTGACACACCGTATGTGAACTTTGGGACGTTATGTTAAGTGAGATAAGTCAGTCACAAAAAGACAAATACTGTGAGATTCCACTTATGTGAGGTCCCTAGAGCAGTTAAAGTCACAGAGTCAGAGAGGAGGGTGGTGGTCGCCAGCAGCTGAGGGAGGAGGGGTGCGGAGGGGTCGATAGGTATAGACTTCCAGCTTTATAAGAAGAAGAGGGTTCTAGAGATGTGGGTGCTGGTGATGGTATCTCAACATTCTGACTATATTTAATATCCCCAAACGATATATTTAAAAATGATGAAGAAGGTAAATTTGAGTATATTTTACCACAATACAAAAAATTGAGGGAAAATTACAAAAGCAAATGGAAGCAATATATTCAAAAATAAATATATAAATAGAAATAATAAAATAAAAACTTTTATTTTTGTTTACCCTTTCACAAAGTTTATGCACCCCAAGAAAGTACTGTAAGCAGTTAGTTTTTTTCTTCCAGACATTTGTATGCACATATAAGCCTATTGATCTGTAAAAATGTAAACATTTTCTAAAAGCACATTGTATAGTGTTCCTCAACTAAGTTATTTTTAGTTAATAATGTACCTTATTGATGAATTAGATACTACTACTCTATTTTTATATCAGTACATGTTGGCACATCACATTTTTATAGCGTCACAATATTCCAATCTTTGGGTGCATGGTTATTTAGGAAACCAGTCACATTGTTATGGATATAGCATGGTTTCCAGTTTTTGCTATTACAGATAGTATGCAGTGAATCTCTTGTAAATATACATATATAGTTCATAAGATAATTTTATATATATATATATGTGTACATATATTCTTTTGAGTAGCGGAGTTGTAAGTCAGCTAAAAATTTTGATAGGTACTTTAAGCTGCCCTCCATAGTGGTTCTATCATTTAGCATTTGAAGCTGTACTGTTTATTATAAGGGATCATTACTTGAAAATTTGGTTGCTTTGTTCCCTAATAAACTTCTTTCTAGTTTCCTTTTCCTATTACCTATTATTTAACCCTCTCTGTATAGTTTTAGTATAATGACATCGAGAAGTGCTTGAGAAAAACTATACTGATAAATATAGGTGATTGAGGCAAAAGCCTAAGAGTCTTCTTTCTTCCCGTTAAACCTAGGATGAAATTTAATAAACAAGAACACTTTCTTATAAAAAGCAATTTCATTCCACATTGTTGTGGAGATCTTTTTGAGTTAGAAAAATACACACACAGAGAACTAGAAACAGCACAGTGATTTTTTTAACCCTTAGGCTATATTTCCTTTTGCTTTCAGAACTTCCTGAGGAATCAAAACAACAAAACAAACTACAACCTTGTCTGTGAGACCCTTCAGTTCTTGGACTGCATTTGCGGAAGTACAACGGGCGGCCTGGGCCTGCTGGGTCTCTACATCAATGAGAAGAACGTCGAGCTGGTCAACCAGACTCTGGAAAGCTTGACTGAGTATTGCCAGGGGCCGTGCCATGAAAATCAGGTAACCATGAAAGCAGTTCTTAATGCAAAACTATTCATGACTAATTGGGGTTAAATTGTTAAACAAGCCAACCCTTGTGCACATGTCAAAGATCTTTCTTCTTGCCTTGCCAGGTATTTGTACTTTCCTAACAAAACATACAAAGACTGAATTGTAGACTTGCAAATGCCATGCCATATTTTAATTTGATTTCATTATAAAAGAAAATTCTTATGAAAATGTTCCAGATAAAAATCATACTTATCAGACAGAGTAGAACATGTTTCTTCATCATTGCTGAGTTTTCATCTTGTAGTGAATCTTTCTAGGATTTGTGGAACAAACTCCCTTTGGCTTCTGTGGCTCCACTACTTTGGGTAGTGTATGTTATCTTTCTTTGTCATGGTGAACCGGTGGAACTCATGAAATAGGTATTATTGTCCACATTTTGCTAGGTTCTGAGTCGGAGATTAAGGGGTGTTCCAGTGTTTCAGGGTGACAAATGGTGAGTTGTAGAGCCATTCTGACAATGCAGGACTTTTGATCGAGTCTAAATAGAGTGTTCTTTTAACTATATTACATTTTCCAGGGCAGAGTTTCAATTCTCGCTTCCAGAATGTTTGCCTCTGAATCCATTTTATTGGAGATCAAGGGCACATTGTGGGGGCAGAAGACAGGACACCTGAATGAGAGGGAGGAGGGCCATGCTTGACTTTATTAATTTACTGTTCACTTTCATTCAAGTGCCACAGAAGCATGGAAGGAAAAGTTGTCAAATCATAAACATTTCTGGATATTAATTTTAAAGAAGCCATTGAGACCAAATATCAGTGCTTAACATAGAACATAAGTATAAAAAATAAATCTGCTTTTTATTGCAAATTATATGACCTATATACACATATATAGTGCCTATATATACACATGTATATACACATATGCACACAAATATGTACATACATAACATAAGTACACAGGATAAAACACAATTGTTGATATAAACAATTTGTTGTGGGGTTATTGTTTCCCCCTCTTGTAATTTGCATATGACACTGTGAAACATTTGTGGATTTGGCTCTTATTTTCTTGGATTTTATTTCAGTCTCCTAAGGCTTTGCTACAATACAACCTAACTGTTGATTTAAAGTTAAGGAAAAATACACACATTCAGAGATTTACTTTTGTTGGTGGTGAAACTATGTATATCTATAATAGAAATTGTGTGTTCCAAACTTTGGGTCTTGTAAGAGCATGAAATTGAGTTTTGAAAGTAGTTTGCTTTATCAGGTAAGCTCTAAAAATAAAAGCTAATACTAAAATAACACGAATCCAACATACACTGATAATATACTTAGTGTGAACCCCATGCTCTGCAAATGTATGTAAAGAAAGAAGGTTTCTAGCAAACTCCAGAGGAGATTTGCAAATTGATTCTAAGTTTGACAAATATTTTAATGATCAAAGAAACCTTGGGACATGTAGAAGGTGGATGGAAAACATCTTTCCCTTGTGTCGGGGGAGTACAAGTTTCCTCATGAAGGCAGTATGAAGGGAGAAATAAAGCACATCCGGAAAAATCGTATAACATTCATTTCAGAGTTACTTTGATTTTTACTCTCTCTCCTTTAGTTGCCTGGGTTTTGATTTTTCAAACCCCTCGACGCTGGGTGATTTTTCCTAACCTTCAGATAGATCCTAACCTTCAAATTCTGACATTTATCTCTCAAGACATTTTATAAACTTTCCTCCCATAAATCACTCAAGTTTAAGGAATCTGCCATCACAATGGACAGAATGTCCCCCAACCATCAGGAGGTGCCTGTGGTCCCTGTCCACTGCTGCCCAGCATGTGCGCCAGCATCACCTGCCACTGGTGTAACACTAAGTCACTGAGTAACTAAGATGCTGCATCAGTACCGATAAAGTTTACTCGGAAACCTCAGGCATAAATTTAGGGCACCCACCTTTCCGAAATGACAATATTCTCTTAGCCAGGATGAATTAGATCTTAGAATTCTAAACTTAAGGAATTCCTTTACTGAAGGGCATATTAGAGTTTGTTGAGGCCCTGGCTATGTGGCTTGGTTGGTTGGAGCATCATCCCATACATCAAAATGTTGCAGGTTTGATTCCTCATCAGGGCACTTACCTGGTTTGCAGGCTTGATCCCTGTCAGGGGGCTTATGGAGGCAGCTGATTGATATTTTCCCCTGTCTCTCCCTTCCTCTCTCTCTAAAATGAATAAAACATATCCTTGGGTGAGGACTAAAAAATTTATTGACTGCAAGAGTATTTAACTTAGCCAGTGTTCTTTGAAATTCTCTAAAAATGGTTCCTTTTAAAAGATACCCATCACACACACTCTCTCTCTCAGTGTTCTGCATATGAAGTCATATAATCAATACTACTCAACCAGTAGTCAGACTGTATGCAAAAGAACAAGTCAGGCTTAAATCTTTGACTTACCTTTGTTTTAAAAGGAAAGCTCAATGCTAGTTATATTTTAAATGTCAAAGAAACTAAGACGATTCTGTTGTTTTATATCATATGACTTCTAACTCTCTTATGTTAAAGTTATTTTATAAACATTTTGTTTCCTAGACATGTATTGCTACTCATGAATCAAATGGGATTGATATCATCATCGCTTTGATTCTAAATGACATAAACCCTCTTGGGAAATACCGAATGGACCTGGTGCTCCAGCTAAAGGTAGAGTAAATCCACTGCTCAGTGGGAAAGTGATGTTGTCTGTAAACTTTCAGAGTTAACCGCAAATCTCCAAGTAGCTTTTGTCAAAACCAAGATGTTACATATTTTCAATGAATGAATCCATAGAAAGGGTTAGTGAAAGCACAGTGCACACTCCATTTCAGGTAAAATGTCAAATAAACTTGGAGGTAATGTTCAGTTGGAGGGTACTTTATTAGAAGTTCTTTTCAGTAACTGCTTTGTTTCACTACTTCTCTTCTGTTTTTATATTTTTCATTATATGGAGGAGCAAGAGGTGTTGAACATTCACTGTGCCATATTTTTAAAATTCATCTTCACTACAGAATTCCACTTGACAACTCACAGTTAATTAGACTGTGGAGAAGGAAAGCTGCACTTTATTGTCGTTTTCTGGTTCTCTTCTTTCTAAAAGTTTTTTTCTCATACATTGGAATCTTATTTTTTCCCAAATACTGTAAGCCATTTTATATTGCCCTTGAGAACTTACTTAAACCATGAACATACTTCCCAGCAGTTCCATTTATCAGAGCTTACCTGGTATGCAATTAAAGACCACATTATTGTGTTTAGTGTTAAACAGGTGATCAAATCAGTGGTTAAACATAATTTTTTTGTTAAGAGAGGTCTATCCAGTACCTTAGCAAATATAAGTAAGTTTCACTTTGTGTGAATAAATTTATGGCCAAGAAGAAAGATGTTTCTGAATATAGATATAGATAAATGCGTATGTCCCACTTACGTGATGATTATACTAATGGTTCATAATAAGCAAGTGTTTATTTTAATATAATACAAAGTTTGTATCTTCCACTCTTTTCTTTTGCCATCTGTACTAGCACTGGGTCCTTCCACCCACTGAGTAAAGCACAGGTGATCCTTGTACCCAACAAAATGATAGTGGTACCCAACTAAATGATAGTCGTACTCAACTAAATGATGGGGTACGACTTCAGAGGCCAAAGATATTCTCAGCTATTCAAATGAAAATGCTGTTTTGAAAAAGGGTCACTGAAAATACTGTTCATGTTATGAAGCACAATTTAAGTACACCTTTTCAAAATATGACAGAGAAATCAAGGAATGTAAAAAAAAAAACCAAATGAATGGATTTGATTTGAAATATTTATAATATAGTTTTCTATCTAAACAATAAAGTGTCTGTACTTTCTTTAAAAAAAACCTGTGCGGCTTTGTATATAGTGGCCAATATGACAACAATATATGTAAGACAGAATGATATATAGTGACACATTTTAGGGGCCTTCCTTGAATGCTTTTAATTATAAATACCACATAACATTATAGAGATACCACATTAAAACGTTAAGGTCTTATTTTATATAATTTACCCTTGAATTTAATTGCTTAATTATTTATTATTTTAAATATACTTCCTTCTATTACTCATTTATATACAACTTTATGATTTTTTTACATATACTTCTTAAATTACATTTTATAACTGATCTGTGACTATAAAGCACTGAATTTGTAAATAGGTCATTTTGTTTTGTTTTGTTTTTTAAGACTCTAGCTTCCTTCAGAAGAAAACCCTCTATTAACCCTGCCATCTGCATTTGATTTCTCAGGGTATATAGGCTTTTTTACTTTCAAATTGATTCAGATTTCAGGAGATCATCTACAAGGCTCTTACTCTTCTAACATAGTATGAAAAAGAAGATTGGTTAGAAAAAAATACCTTAATGCCAATAGCATTCTGAAACTGGATGTATTTTAAAGGTACTATGCATCAGGCCTGCTGGGTGAGGTCCATCAGAGAAGACCACTGTTGATTGGCAGGGTTTTAGTTTTGAGTTCTATAGGATCAGTTCAGATTGCTGTAAGGATTTGAACTCTCTGCTAATCCTGGAACCTAATATTTTAGGTGTGTTGTTTGTACAGACAAGATGCTAGATTATAAAAATATACAAATCCGTAAAATTATAAAATAAAATGAAAAATTAGTGCCACCTCTGCCACAAAATACTAAAATCTTTTCAGGATAGGCCCTTGACCTGGGTATCATCATGTGATCAACTTCATCATCATTGTCATCATCACCATTAGTCATTTAAAGATAACCTTTAGATTGCACTTCTGAAAGTAAAAAATAGTTGGATAGAATTTGGTATTAAAACTACTCAGTAAAATTAATTTGAAAAACTTTAACAAAGTTTCTGAAGAGAGTGTCTGCATACCAAACAACTGATTCTGTTTAAGTTTTCACCCTGTAAGGTGTTAATGCGGCGTCACTGAGAAGCAGTGTAAAGCCTTTTGACGCTACTCCTGTTGTGCTGCTTTGAGAGGTGGTGTGTGGGGGGTTGAACTTTTTGACCACCACAAACACACGGTGCAGATACTGCTCAGGAAGTTTTTTATCATCATGCAACGTGCCGCAATTCTAGGGCAGCGCTCTTGAAAACAATGTCAAGAAACCTCTTTCCAAACGATGAGAATATTGTGCTTTGTGTGGCAAGACTTTTCTGTAGTTCTGTGCACCTATTTTGGGTTATAAATCAACTGCATCAGAAACATTTTTGATATCTATAGGTAAACTGTTTGAGAAAACATATTTGTGCCAAATTAGAAAACATCAAAGACAACTTAAACTATTTCATTCTTTATGGGACAAAAATACAAAATAATTTTTCTTGTACAACCCAGATTGTAAACATGTGGCATAGATACTGTCATATTGTGGGACTAGTTATCAATAAATTTATATTTTATTTCTAACTCATGAATTTAGAATTTTATAAATTTTCAGTAGTTATTGCACACCTTTAGAATTTTGATTTGATAACATGTATTAATGTTTCATGTTAAAAACAATATGCTAAACTCCTTAAATGATATACCATTTCTGTGAGATGTGTCACTGCTACTGGATCAGCTTACTGTCTTGTTAAAAATGTCATCATAGAAATGCCCGTTAGGGTATTTATATACCACACATTATATATAAATTCACTGTTGTTTTTAAAACACCTTTTCACCAATATTTAAAATAGCCCTTGTAACTTATCTCCCATGATTCATTATTTTTATTTTGTCTTGACAGTAAAGTAAAACATTCTATTTCAAAATGCTAATAAGCCAAACCAAATTAGCAGTTTAAAATTCTGTTTGATTAAAAAAATGGTCTTAGTAATCTCAGTGAAAAGAAATGCAGGGGACCATTAACCCGTGAAATAGATTTTTCTTGTGCACTAACTCAATCTGTTTCCCTAGAACAACGCCTCCAAGCTTTTGCTGGCCATTATGGAAAGCAGACATGACAGCGAGAATGCCGAGAGAATTCTTTTCAACATGAGGCCCAGGGAACTGGTAAGAAAACGTTTGAAAGCCGGGTTACTGAAGTACAGCTGAAAGGGATAAGTTTGTAGTATGCATGTTAGGAAAATGTCTGGTAGCTTCCGTGCTCTACCAGGGCATAAGGACACACTAAAAATACCTCAGAAGACCCCATGACTGCAAAGGCCAGTGTAGTTTGGGTCATTAATGATTTTATTGGTTTTATCCACACTTGGCACTTTTCTCAACCAGATTGTCCCACTCTACTAAACTATCCGTGAATTCTTTCTGACAGGAAAAGTTCGCTTTACTTTGTGTATTGGAATGCATGAGGAAGGTGTATGAAAAATGTGTGTTTCAAAAGTTATGTTTATACCTCTTTCTGAACAATGAAAATAAAATCAGTATCTTAAATTTGTTCTTATCAGTAAAATGTTGCAGAAGCTTGTTCTAGAGAAAAATTGGAGACTTGAGGGGGATTCCACAGAGATCATTAGTGGGCCTTTTCTATTGTAGAAGTTATATTTTTCCCACATGGAAATCATGAAATAATATCAGCATGCTTAAAAGCATTGGGTTTAAACGTATCAAGAACATTTTCACACCAGGTAGCTCCATACCCCAGTGACTAAATCCGAGGCTTGGGAGCATCACTGTTGGTGTTACGGGGACATGCTGTGGAAGGCACTCTTTTGCTCTCTAATAGTAAGGAATGGAGTTGGGGAGGGCAGATAAATACGAAGCTAAGATGCATTTTGATTAAACATATGTATAATGAGTATCTAGTATCTCTGCATGGCAGTGGGCTAAGAGGGGCAAGAAAACTCTGCTTTAGTTTGTATATTGGAATATATTAGGAAGGTATATAAAAAATCTTTGTACCCCTCAAAAATTATATAATATTTATACCTGTTTCTGAACAATAAAAATAAAATTAATACCTTTATACTTATGGTTAAATGGGGCAATGGGTTATATATTCATTCGAAAACAGACTGTGCAATAGCCCATTGAAAATACTGTTTCCACGGCCTACAACACATTTATCTCATCATTCACTTCCTTCATGCCCACCCTCAGCCTCCTGACTGAGTTAGTGCCCTGGCCCTGTGCTCAATTGTCACCTCCTTGCTGTAGGGCGGTTCGCCTGTTGAGGGCAGATACTCTGTTGTATCTCCCACTAGGTCCTCAGAGCACAGTCTAACATGCAGCACCATGGATCCCTGTTACTTAGCGGGCCTTTAATAAATAATGGCTCCTTATTGCAGTTCCAGACTCTGCTAATTCATGGGAGCTTTGGCACTGTCAGCATTCAAAAATCAAAGCAAAATCTTCTAAGTGAAATAGGGAATATTGTTAAGAAAATACTTCCCTGTTACTTTAAATAAAGATGGTTTCCAAGGCCATTTTCATTGAGTTCTTTGATGCTTTTAGAGGCTTAGGAAGCATGCCAGCTTTTAATTATACTTCATAAATGATGTAAAAGGCATGCTGTTTGTGGCATTTCAAACCTTGCTGTTCCTGTTTGTGTTTTTGGTAGGTGGATGTGATGAAGAATGCCTATAACCAAGGATTGGAATGCGACCATGGCAATGATGAGGGTGGAGATGATGGTGTTTCTCCAAAAGATGTTGGACACAATATCTATATTCTGGCCCATCAGGTATCATGTTTTATATCATTATATGATTTTGCTAATCTTATCAATTATGTCTTGTGTCATGGCTTGTCATCCTATTTTCAAGTTCCAGTTCCTTCATTTACTCAGTGCTTAACCCCTCCCCCATCCTTGCCCTGGGCCAAGTAAGGGGAAAAGCTCCCAGAATGCCTGACTCTGCCCCCAGGGCTATGCTAAGGACACACACACACACACACACACATACACACACCTTAACACCAAAACCACTCGTCCAAGAGGGAGTCCTGTGTCAAATCCTGAGGAGGAGGTAACCGCTGGCAACAAATGGAAGTCTTTAAGGAGAGAGGATGAGAGGCTACTGAGAAGACAGGAAGTATAAGGTAGGGGGTACATTTAGGTCTAATCAGGACAAACCTTGTATAGGGCTTTTGGACTCTGTGAATTATAGGGAGCCATGCTTCTCAATGGTTTCCATTGGGATTCTAACAAATGTGAGGCTAACATAAATTCTTTGGGAGGAACAATTTCCATTTTATAACAACTTAATAAAAACAGGTGCTTGATAACTATTACTTGATAAATTTAATTCTGATACATAAGTTCTAATTTTATCTGCTAATGCAGGTTTGTTTAAAATTTTTCTGCTATGCAAATATAACCAGAGACATTGAAATTCAGAACAAACTGACAGTAACCAGAGAGGAGGTGGGACGGCATATGGGAGGGAAAGGGGGAAGGGTTTTCAGGAACACGTATAAAGGACATGTGGTCAAAACTGAAGGCGGTTGGATCAAGGGCGGGAAGTGGGGATGGCTGGGGTGGGGGCAGTGGTGGGAGGAAAATGGAGACAACTGTACTTGAACAACAACAAAAAAGAAGTTAAAAAATAGAAAAAAATGTAAAATTTTATATGTATATATGCCAATTTGATTTTGTTTGTAGTACCTCCCTCTTTTTTTTACGAATAAGGTCTGAGCTTTGTAAACTTCCCCAGTCTTTCTTTCTAATTGTTTTCTCCCATTGACAGTCGCTCCCTTTTCCTGCCTTCCTGTACATCTTATCACTTAATTTAACAAATAGTAATATATATAAGCTAAGATTCTTGGTAGATTTAAATTTTTTAAATTTTTACAGTTTTACTGAGATATCACTGACATACAGCATTGTATGAGTTTAAGGTGTTAAACAGTTGCTCTTTGGGCACTTCTGGCCCTTCTCTATCCTTTGTCTAACTGCCTAATGTATGCAAACTTAAATATAATTTTTATGGAATATTCAGAAGAGTCAAATTCTAAAATATATTTCTTTAATTCAAGTTATTTAACTATAAATGAAACAGAAATAAGTTACCCACTTCCTGCCTTCAGTAACCTGTCTTTTCTTTGTATCTATGAACTTGGGTATACATACACACACATGCGTGCACGCACGTACACATGAGAGATCATACAGTGTTTGTCTTTTCTCTTTTTCATTTAGCATAATGTTCTAGAGTTTCATTAGTGTTGTTGCAGATGGCAAGATTTCATTTTTTATTGGTGAATAAGATTTTATTGGTGTGTGCGCATACATCTTTATGTGTGTATCCATTGATGGACACTCAAATTTCTTCCATATCTTGGCCATTGTAAATAATATTGCAATGAACATGAGGATGCACGTGTTAATATTAGTGTTTTTGTTTTCTTTGAGTAAATACCCAGAAGTGAAATTGTTGGATCATATGGTAGTTCTATTCTGGGTTATTTAAGGAACTGACATACTGTTTTTTATGGTGGCTGCACCAAGTTACATGGCCTCTAGTAGTGCGTGAGTGTTCTCTCTCCACTTCCTTGCCAACACTTGTCATTTCTTCTCTTTTTGATAATAGTCATTCTAACAAGTATGAAATGATATCTCATTGTGATTTGGATTTGCATTTTTCTGGTAATTTATGATGTAAGAATCTCTTGATGTACTTGTTGGCCAATTGTCTGTCTTCAGAAAAATGTCTATTTAGATTTTCTTCCCAGTTTTAAGTGGATTATTAGATTTTGGGGCTTTTGATTTGCACATATTCTTTATATATCAACCCCTTATCAGCATATGAGTCGTAAATATCTTCTTCCATTCAGTAGGTTGCCTTTAAATTCTGTTGATGGTTTTCTTTGTTGTACAGAGGAAACTTTTTAGTTTAATGTAGTCTCACTTCTTTGATTCTGCTTTTGGTTTCAGATTCAAAAAGTCATCACCAAGACCTATGTCAGAGCAGCTTATCACTTGTTTTCCTCTAGTAGTTTTATGTGTTCAGGTCTTATATTCTAGTCTAATCCATTTTTAGTTAATAATTATATATAATATGTTTTCTTTGTGTAATTAATTTCTAGTTTCATATACTATGGCCAGAAAAGATGCTTGATAAAATTTTAGTCCACTTAAATTTATTAAGACTTATTTTGTGGTTGAGCATAAGATCTATCTTGGAAAATGTTCTATGTGTACTTGAGAAAAATGTGAACTTTGTTGCTTTTGGATGCAATGTTCTGTACCAAATATCTGTTACTCCATCTGGGATCATTTAAGGCTGGTTTTTCCTTATTGATTTTCTGTCCAGAGTATCTATACATATATGTAATTGGAATATTAAAGTACTCCACTGTTGTTGTATTGCTATCTATTATCCCCATTTGGTTTGTTAATATCTGCTTTATATATTTAGGTGATCCTATCTTGGTACCTAAATATTTTTAAGTGTTATATCTTGTTGTTTTTTTATTTTTATTGAATATATTAGGGTGGTATTGGTTAATAAAACTACATAGGTTTTAAATATACAATTCTATGATACATCATCTGTATATTGTATTGTTTGTTCACCACAAGTCTCCTTCCATCACCATTTATACCCCATTCATTCTCTTCTATCTCTTTCTTATACCTCTTTCCCTCTGGTAATCATCATACTGTTGTCTGTGTCTGAGGGTTTTTTTCCCCTTTGCTTAATCCCTTCACCTTTTTAACCCAGCCCTCCAAACCACCTTCCCTCTGACAGTTGTCAGTCTACTCTCTGTACCTATGAATCTGTTTGTAGTTTAGTTCATTAGATTCCACATATAAGTGAAATCATATGGTACCTGTCTTTCTCTGACTATCATTGCGTTTAGCATAATACTCTCTAGGTCCATCCATGCTGTTGCAAAGGTAAGATTTCTTTCTATTTTATTGGAGTAGTATTCCATTGTGTAAATGTACCACGGCATTTTTATCTGCTCATCTACTAATGGATACTTGGGCTGCCTCCAAATCTTGGCTATTGTAAATAATGCTGCAGTGAACATAGGGGTGCATATAGTCTTTCAAATCAATGCTTGGTGTTTCTTTGGCCATGTCCCCAGAAGTAGAATTGCTGGGTCATAAGGCAGTTCCATTTTTAATTTTTTTGAGGAAACTCCACACTGCTTCCACAGTGGCTACATCAATTCGTTTTCCCACCCACAATGCATGCTGGTTCCCTTTTCTCCACATCCTTGCCAACACCTGTTTGTTCATTTATTGATGGTAGCCATTCTGACAGGTGTGAGGTGATATCTCACTGTGGTTTTCATTTGATTTCTCTAATGATTAGAGATGTTGAGCATCTTTTCGTAAGTCTATTGGCCATCTGTTTGTCCTCTTTAAAAAAGTGTCCCTTCAGGGCCTTTGTCTATTCTTTAATTGGTTCGTTTTCTTTTTTTTTTGGTGTTTAGTTTTATAAGTTCTTTATAAACTTCAGATACTAACCTTCTATCAGATGTACCATTGGTGAATATGTTTTCCCATTCAGTGGGTTCTTTTCATTTTGTTGATCGTTTTTTATTTTTTACCTTTTCCTGTGAAAAAACTTTTAGTTTGATATAGTCTTATATTTTAATTTTTTTCTATTGTTTTCCTTACCTGAGGAGAAATATCCAAAAAATATTTCTAAGAAAAATGTCTGAAGTTTTACTGCCAGTGTTTTCTTTTATGTTTTCAAGTCTAGCATTTAAGTCTTTAATCCATTTTGAGTTTATTTTGTCTATGGTGGTCTAGTTTTATTTTTTGCATGTATCTGTCTAATTTGCCCAACACCATTTATTGAATAGACTGTCTTTACCCTGTTGTATGTTTCTGCCTCTTTTGTCAAATATTAATTGACTATAAAGGTGTGGATTTATTTCTATGTCTGTTTTATGCTGGTACCATGCTATTTTGATTACTATGGCCTTGTAAAATTGTCTGATATCATGTAGCCTGATTGTTCCAAATTTTTTTCTTTCTTAAGATTGCTGTGTCTATTCAGGGTCTCATTACAGTCCCCGTTTCAAAGTTTATTTTGTCTGATACAGATAGTGCTACTCCAGCTTTCTTTTGTTTTTCCTTTGCATCCCTTCCCTTTCAGTCTATGTTTGTCTTTACGTAGGAAGTGACCCTTTTGTTTGCAACATATAGATGGTCTTGTGTTTTTTTTATCCATTCATTTACTCTATCCCTTTTGATTGGAGAATGTAGCCCACTTATATTTAAAGTAATTATTGATAGGAATGTGCATTTTGCATTTTATGTTTGTTTTCTGGATGTTTTTTGTAGTTCCTCTCTATTCCTTTCTTCTCTTGCTCTCTTCTTCTGCACTTTGATGACTTTCTCTTGTGGCATGCCTATTCCTTTCTCTTTATTTTTTTGTGTGTTTACTGTAGGTTTTGCTTTATGATTATTATGAGGCTTATACATAACAATTTGTATTCATAAGAGCCTATTTTAAGTTGCTAACAACTTAAGTTTGATCCCAGTATAAAGTCCAACATTTACTAACTCCCCACATTCTATATTTTTCACATCACATTTTACCTTTTATTATCTTGTATATCCCTTAACCAATTCTGTAATCATAGTTATTTTTACTACTTCTGTCTTTTAACTTTTATATGAGCTTTATAAGTGATTAATTTGCTTCCTTTACTATGTATTTACCTTTACAGTATAATTCTAAAAGATACTAACAAAAATTGCTACTGTTTTGTAATAGTTGG